TCTCCCTCTCCTCCATCATTATCTCCTCTTCTTAACTCCCCCCTTCCTTATCTTTCTTCCTCTCCCCTCTCTTTTTTTCCTTCTCTCTTTTTTTCTTAATTCTCCCTTCTTCCTTGTTCTTTCCTCCTCTCCCTTTTCTCTTTCTCTCCCTCCCTCCCTCTCCACTCTCTTTCTGTCTCCCTCTACCACTCACTTATTCCTCATCCACTTCATACATACATACATACCTTTATACATACATACATACATACATACACCTCAAACCCAACCTCCTCCCCTGTTAAAACACTCTCCTTTAGCCCATCCTCCCCTGCACCCCCTGTAAGCTCATTCTCCTCCCCCTGTTCCCCTTCTTCTCATCTCCCCCTTATGTATTTAAGTCAAATGGAGGTCATCAGTCACAATTGCCGCTAACTACCCTAGACGGGCCATTACAAAGCACACACACACACACACACACACACACACACACACACACACAGGAAAGAATTGTACATAGAGAGAGAGAGAGAGAGAGCCAACAGTGCCATAGTGCCAGCTGTAGGTTGCCATGGCTCGGGTCACTCCACTTTATAATCCATGTTTACTGATCCGCTTGATGGCACCGCTCCTCCCCCCCTCCCCCTCCCTCCCTCCCACCCAGAAAAACCTCCACCCAAACTTCCTCCAAACCTGTAACCAGTTCACTGTACCTGTACTTTAGATACCCAAACCTGTAACTGTACCGATTGTTCCTGTATTAATTTCTGTATCTGAGAGTACAGGTCTTCTCATCTACCTATAAGGACCTACAAGTACTCAATGTATACCGTAACTTAACTATAAATCAGTACTCGCATCTCACACCAGAGTACACTTGAGGGTCAGGTGTCAATAATCAATCTAGGTAATGTCTTTTGTTTACGAAATTATGACCTTGATACCTTTGACCCTTTGACCCTATCTGACCCTACTGTTATCGTGGTCAATATGCGTGACTGGTACACGTAGATGTTATTCTCGAGGTATTCTGCGGATGTAAATATAATGATAGGTAATGGCCGCACCTACTCAAGCGCTCGATCCAAACACAGACAAGACCAAAAAAAAAAAAACTCAAGGTAAACACAATTAAGATCCAAACAATAACAAAACACACAACATAAAATACACATCAGAGGGACAATCAAGCATGGTGAGTCATATCCCAAACACACACACACACACACACACACACATTCCCAGCAGCAGTCAACATAATTCTGGAAACTATTATTCACAAAAACATACATCACACATCCATAAGTTTTGTCTATCACGTAATATTTAGGAATGTGTGGATTGGGGACCTTTTATTTGGTCATCTTATTGTTTTGAAAATGAGGTTTAATAGCGAGGTGTTGTTGACGGAGGGAGAGGAGGTGGGGAGGGAGGGAGAGGGAGGTGGGGGAGGAGGAGGAGGGAAAAGGGGGTATATATGATTACGTAGAACAGCCAGACAGACAGACATAGACAGTCAGGCAGACAGACATAAAGATGGCCGAGAACACACGGAACTGAAACACGAAAACATTCCCTCACGTAAACGCATACATTATATCTGCAGGTAGACACACAGACACGCACACACACACACACACACACACACACACACATACACACACACACACACACACACACACACACACACACACACACACACACACACACATACACACACACCAAGACCCTGTTGAAAAGTTCTGCTTCCTCGAGTCCAAATTTTTTCATGGATAAACTTCCTAAGAAAACACAAGTTAACAAAAATCCTTAACAAAATTGTATAACTTTTTCTTCCTCCTCCTCCTCCTCCCGTTTCGTCTTTTTTTCTTCTTCTTAATCGTTCCTCCTCTTCTTCTGTCTTCCTCTTCCTCCCCTCCTTCCTTCCTCCTCTTCTATCTTCTGTCTTCCTCCTCCTCTCTTCTCATCCTCGCCTTGTTCTTCTTCCTCTTTTACTTATTCGATTCCTTGTCTCTTCTCCGTTTTCCTATTTCCTCCTCTTCCTTTCTTACTCTTCCACCTCCTCCTCTTCCTTCCTCCTCAAGCACTATCTTCTTGTCCTGGTATCAAAGTTTGTTTATCTTCCCGGTGTCTTGAAAGTAACACACACACACACACACACACACACACACACACACACACACACACACACACCTAAGCGTCTTCCCGGAACAGGTGAGCCACACGACACCTGAGTCCAACAGTGACTAATTGAAGCTTAAGTTGTTGTGTATCAGGTGGACATTATTGACACCTTGGCTACTGCACTGCCTCACCTTCCTTCCCCTCCCCACCACCTACCTAACATTCTCCCCTCACATATATAATCTAAAAATTCCTCCCTTACCCTCGTCGTTTCCCTCTTATCTACCCCATCCCTCTCCTCCCACAGCCTCTTTAACTACCTCCCCATACCTACCTCCCCTCCCCTACAATCCTTCAATATTCCTTATCCCTCCCCACAGTCTAACAATTGAATCAGGTCTCTCTCTCTCTCTCTCTCTCTCTCTCTCTCTCTCTCTCTCTCTCTCTCTCTCTCCAGCCACACCATCCATCTTGTTTATGATCCCATCCCCCCACCCCCCACTACACCCCTCACCTCACTACAACCCCCCACAGCCGTTATACACTCCCCCACACCCCCCCTCACCTCCCCACAGCCCATTACACACACCCCTGTCATAATAATAATAATAATAATAAAAAGAATAATTAAATACAAACAAAAAAAACAAAAACAAGGACATGAGTAACAAAAACCCAACAAAAACAAACAAACTCGAGCCATATAAGGAGTTCTGTGTCTCATGATAAGTATTTGTTGGTGGACAGCGTAATTAATAATCTGGTTTACACGCTTCAAGACTTTAGTTGTTGAAGAGCGGTAATAACATTGTATCCTCAGCGTCAAGCTCGGCCACACACACACACACTACCACTCCACACCTGTAATCTAGACCCACCCCCCACCCCCCTCACCTGGCTTTAACACCATTAACCGGAATTTTAACGGAGGGGAGCAGCGGTGGCAGGTGGAAGAGGTGAGGGGGGGGGAGAAAGGGAAGGGGGAGGTGGGGGAGGGGAGAAGGGAGGGGAGATTTATGACACGGGTTTAATGAAGGCTAGACCCCCTGCCCCAGTTGTACAATCCGGAATTAGCGACTAGAGGTGTGCGGCACGCGTGAGGTGATGTCAGGTGTTGATGGACGGTTCTGCGGCCAGGTACCCAGGTGGGGTAATAAAAGAAACAGGTAATGAGAGGGGACGAAGAATTATCCAGGTAAAAATATAATGACATTTGAAATAAAAACTATAAATTGTTTGTGTTATTATTATTATTATTATTATTATTATTATTATTATTATTATTATTATTTGTAGTAGTAGTAATAATATAATAATAATAATAATAATAATAATAATAATAATAATAATAATAATAATAATAATAATAATAATAATAATGATAATAATAATAATAATAATGTGTGTGTGTGTGTGTGTGTGTGTGTGTGTATGTGTGTGTGTGTGTGTGTGTGTGTGTGTGTGTGTATGTGTGTGTGTGTGTGTGTGTGTGTGTGTGTGTGTGTGTGTGTGTGTGTGTGTGTGTGCGTGGTGTGTGTGTGTGTGTGTGTGTGTGTGTGTGTGTGTGTGTGGTGTGTGTGTGTGTGTGGTGTGTGTGTGTGTGTGTGTGTGTGTGTGTGTGTGGTGTGTGTGTGTGTGTGTGTGTGTGTGTGTGTGTGTGTAATAATAATAATAATAATAATAATTAACGGTTTATTGAAAGAGCTTGGCAGCCAGAAGGCTGAAAATATACAGTTACATATTTGGGGAATGGGTTACGAATTACAAATAATATACAAGTGACATAAGTGACACAAATAAGACATATAGTAACTTAGATGGGGATCAGCTCAAAATACAGTTCATTTCAACATAGTGACAGTGTAGGGAGCAGTGTTTACTGGGAGTGAATACACTGATTTATTACATGTTATTGATAATTTTTACAATGTGTGTGTGTGTGTGTGTGTGTGTGGTGTGTGTGTGTGTGTGTGTGTGTGTGTGTGTGTGTGTGTGTGTGTGTGTGTGTGTGTGGTGTGTGTGTGGTGTGTGTGTGTGTGTGTGTGTGTGTGTGTGTGTGTGTGTGTGTGTGTGTGTGGTGTGTGTGTGTGTGTGTGTGTGTGTGTGTGGTGTGTGTGTGTGTGTGTGTGTGTGTGTGTGTGTGTGTGTGTGTGTGTGTGTGTGTGTGTGTGTGTGTGTGTGTGTGTGTGTGTGTGTGTGTGTGGTGTGTGTGTGTGTGTGTGGTGTGTGTGTGGTGTGTGTGTGTGTGTGTGTGTGAGAGAGAGACCTGGCCTCGTCGTGAGCGATAATCATCATCCGTTGCGACACATTCTTGACCGGGTTATCATATCAACATACCGTAGTGGAATAACACGTCCTTGAGGTTGCTTACGAGGACACCAAGGGGATTTTACTGTGTGTGTGTGTGTGTGTGTGTGTGTGTGTGTGTGTGTGTGTGTGTGTATTCAAGTGCCGTCATTGGGTGCAGGATAAGACTACGTTCATATCAACTCCCTAGATTTATCCGGTTAAAAAACAAAATTGTAATCAAATATCCGACGTTATATAATCGCCTGTTTTATTACGTTTCTGTGTCAGGTTCGGTCTAGTTGTTACTAAAAGAGCAGCAAGTCAGGAGACGGGGTTCTTTACTCTCTCGCCATGAAACGACGCGAGCATACAAATTTTTTAATCCTAATTCCCTCAACACAAAAGCTAATACCTTGTTTGTAGTCATGATGGAAACCCACATTAAAGCTGGGGTGCGGAGGCCGAGTGTATAAGGCACTCGACTCTATGCATAAGAGTTCGCCGAATCGACTCCAATGGACTCCCAGTCGATCCAATTGTGATGAGGTATACCTGAGTTTACTGAGTCGCGTCGGCCATAGTGCCTCCTTGTTCACTGAAAGCTTAGAATGCGGTATATACACTGTCCCTCACATACCCTCAGACCTATGGGACCAACCCCAGCCAAGCTTGGACCTCAAATAGAATCAAATACCGTAAGTCACACGACGAGGCCGGGATGTTTGACCGCCAGCCAACTCACCTGTATAGGCTCCTGAACTAATCAAACAGAAACGATGAAGGAGTAACTCACCTGGTCCTATATAAGACATCACCTTTATGGGATTAACACCATAAAGGTATACTGTACACTGTAGACATGACAGGGTTTAATATAGTGTCTAGATATGTTTCTACTCATGCATCATCTTCACTATAGAATAACGATGTAGAAATTACTTTTAGTGACTTTACTGTAACTATTTTTGTACTTTTACTAATACATCTTAGCAAGTTATTTGAATTTGTTGCCTACAAGAGAGAGAGAGAGAGAGAGAGAGAGAGAGAGAGGGGAGGAGAGACTTTAAAAAATATCTTCATCCTTCCAATTTACACTTTTAATATACACTGAAAGTAATACCACTAACGTAAGATAAAAATAAAAAATAAAAAATAAAATAAAATAAAAAATAAACATTAAAATGGCTCCTACAGAAATCTTTGAGAGAGAAATGAAGAAACTTTTGTGTCAGAGTTAATTAGCGGTGTTGGAGGAGACAGGTGTTGAAAGAGACAGGTGTTGGAGGAGACAGGTGTTGGAGGAGACAGGTGTTGGAGGAGACAGGTGTTGGAGGAGACAGGTGTTGGAGGAGACAGGTGTTAGAGGAGACAGGTGTTGAGGAGACAGGTGTTGGAGAGACAGGTGTTGGAGGAGACAGGTGTGTTGAGGAGACAGGTGTTGGAAGAGACAGGTGTTGGAAGAGACAGGTGTTAGGAGGAGACAGGTGTTGGAAGAGACAGGTGTTGGAGGAGACAGTTGTTAGAGGAGACAGGTGTTGGAGGAGACAGGTGTTAGGGAGGAGACAGGTGTTAGAGGAGACAGGTGTTGGAAGAGACAGGTGTTGAAGACAGGTGTTGAGGAGACAGGTGTTGGAAGAGACAGGTGTTGGAGGAGACAGGTGTTGGAGGAGACAGGTGTTGGGAGGAGCAGGGTGTTGGAGGAGACAGGTGTTGGAGGAGACAGGTGTTGGAAGAGACAGGTGTTGGAGGAGACAGGTGTTGGAGGAGACAGGTGTTGGAGGAGACAGGTGTTGGAGGAGACAGGTGTTGGAGGAGACAGGTGGAGGAGACAGGTGTTGAGGAGACAGGTGTTGAGGAGACAGGTGTTGGAAGAGACAGGTGTTAGAGGAGACAGGTGTTGGAGGAGACAGGTGTTGGAGGAGACAGGTGTTGGAGGAGACAGGTGTTGGAAGAGACAGGTGTTGGAGGAGACAGGTGTTGGAAGAGACAGGTGTTGGAAGAGACAGGTGTTGGAGGAGACAGGGTGTTGGAGGAGACAGGTGTTGGAGGAGACAGGTGTTGGAGGAGACAGGTGTTGGAGGAGACAGGTGTTGGAAGAGACAGGTGTTGGAAGAGACAGGTGTTAGAAGAGACAGGTGTTGAAGGAGACAGGTGTTGGAAGAGACAGGTGTTGGGAGGGGAGGGAGGAGACATGTTTACGTCACGAAGAACACTTGAAAATAATTCCCACAGACGGCAAGAATTTTGGTCCTGGTGTGTCGTGTTGAGATTATACTGTAGTGAAGATATTCTAGGCTTGTGCACGTCGATCAAAACATTATTAAATACTTGAGGTGTACTCTGTGTGTGTGTGTGTGTGTGTGTGTGTATGTGTGTGTATGTATGTGTGTGTGTGTGTGTGTGTGTGTGTGTGTGTGTGTGTGTGTGTGTGTGTGTGTGTGTGTGTGTGTGTGTGTGTGTGATTAGATTAAGGATATATGCACGGAAAGTAAAAGTAAATGAGCTTGAGACTGCATGAGAGAGAGAGAGAGAGAGAGAGAGAGAGAGAGGAAGAGAGAGAGAGAGAGAGAGAGAGAGAGAGAGAGAGAGAGAGAGAGAGAGTATTATCGGGGTGTGGACGGCGGCAGTAAGGGAAGAAGAGCCAACAGGAATCAGCTGAGAGAGCCACTCACGACACCATCACCACAACAATAATGGCTCACCGATTTATTATCATCATCGCTAATTAAACCATACCCCCGCCCTCACCCTTCTCCCTGACTTCCTCCTACCCCATGCTCCTCCGCCTCCCCATGGCCTCTCCTCCTCCTCCTGGCCCCTCCCTCCCATGGCCCTCCTCCGCCTCCCATGGCCTTTCCCATGACTTCTCTCTTTTTCTAACGAGAGAGAGAGAGAGAGAGAGAGAGAGAGAGAGAGAGAGAGAGAGAGAAGGGGGGACACTGGGTTCATATACGAGCTTTTAATAGCCCGCAGCACCGCTAATTAATCGAATTATTGAAGCCATTCCACGACCAGGTCCTCGATATTGACTCTATCATATATAACCAACTTCCTTAAACCTGCGTGATCTAAACCGTTGCCAAGATGGTGTTGTTTTAAACCATCCCCAAACACCATCTGAACCTTATCGTCCCCTAAACCAACACCACTTGAACCTTGAACCCCATTTTCGGTATCCTGTCCTCCCTCAGTGAACCAAGATTCGAACCCTCTGATCTCTGTCTCGAATCCATGATATAGTTTCCTCTTCGTTTTAATTTAATCAGAACGTGTACTAAACTTGTCGAGCCTGAGAGAGAGAGAGAGAGAGAGAGAGAGAGAGAGAGAGAGAGAGAGAGAGAGAGAGAGACTTGAAATTCTACACTGTTTTCAGTATCCCAGAATCTCCCGCTTCCTCTCCCCACAGGACTAAATAATTCAACTATTCCGGTCACAATGAGGTTCGTGAACCCACCTCTCTCAATACTAACCCTGGCATAATATTCAAGTATTATTAATTGTTATTTTTATTATCGTTATTATCACCGGTGTTTATTATTATTATTATTATCATTATTATTATTATTATTATTATTATTATCATTATCATCATCATCTTTTTTGTTTATATACCCGGTAACTCATTTACATAACCCTCATATAACTCATTTACATAAACCTGATATAATACATTTACAGTAGCTACACATTTACGCTGGCTGGGTTAACAAGAGTATAATGACTGCACTCACCATCACTAATTAAGACAGACTGTCCACTTAATAACACAGACAGGGCGGAGGGAAGGGGAATACCTGTCTAGTTGGGGCAGGATACTGTTTAATTTCTGTCCAGGTGATGGTATGGATGAGGGGGTATGGTTATTAAGTTAACCTTGTCTGTATGTATGGGTGTCTGTCTATATAATTAGCCGTCATTATAGCTATCTGATATGTGTGTATAGCTGTATGTCTGTCTGTCTGTCTGTATTGCATACGAAATGTGTAGTATGTATGCAAATCGAAACACACACACAGGCACAAATTAAAACACTCAACGAGAAGGACCCAGTTGTATAATGGCTACCAATGCTAATGATTTCTCTCTCTCTCTCTCTCATACAAGGTACATTATTCACATGACGTTATATACCAGGTAAACAGTGGTATTTAAAATTCGTCATAAACCAAGTAAACAATGGCATTTAAATGACGTCATACTCCAGGTAAACAATGACATTTAAATGACGTCATACTCCAGGTAAACAATAACATTTAAATGACGTCATACTCCAGGTAAACAATGACATTTAAATGACGTCATACCAGGTAAACAATGACATTTAAATGACGTCATACTCTAGTAAACAATGACATTTAAATGACGTCATACTCCAGGTAAACAATGACATTTAAATGACGTCATACTCCAGGTAAACAATGACATTTAAATGACGTCATACTCCAGGTAAACAATGACATTTAAATGACGTCATACTCCAGGTAAACAATGACATTTAAATGACGTCATACTCCAGGTAAACAACTGCATTTAAATGACGTCATACGCCAGGTAAACAAAGGCATCTAGAGTGGAACGTCTGCTGCTTTACATACTGTGATTCCCAAGTGTCGACTGTAGGGAAATGTGTTGACGTATGACACAGCGAGAGATCTGTGGGGGGATCACTGGCGTTCACCCTCTGTCTTGTGTTGTAAGTGAAGGAGTGGTGAAGGAGGGGAAGGAGGGAGGAAGTGTTGAGGGAGGGGAAGAGTGAGGGGGGTAGGTGAAGGAGGAGGAGGAGGAGGTGGAATTTGGGAGGCAGTGTGTTGGAGGACGGAGGGGAAGAATGAGGAATAGTGGAGAGTGAAGGAGACGAGAAAAAGAAAAGGTAATGGGGATCTAGAGAACGAATGAGGAAAGAGAGGGATATTTAATGGGGTATGGAGAAGTGAGGGGGTCTGTAATGGGGGTGGGGAGGTAGTGGGGTAGAGATAGGGTTAGATCATCCCTAGACGAGTGGTATCGATAAGAGAAACCATGATCCCTCACCTCGACTCTCCCTTCACTCCTCACTCTTCACCTCCCTTCACTCTTCACTCCTCACTCTCACCTTCCCTCATTGTCCTCCAGTTATAAAGGCAACTCTTATGTCTACTCTAATAATACAACACTTACCAATCATTCGCCCGTTGTCAACAGTTTAAACACCAGCAAACCCCCAAAAAAATTAATACATGTTAGCTGCTCGTGTTAACTAAACTTTACCCGATATAAATACTCGGTAACATTTGTCTTGAATTTGAAAGCTTAAATACTTGCACTACAGATAATGGTAGTTGATAAATATATAACTAACTGAGATATACAACACATAGTTCACTGTATAATTTCACATTTATTTTCCAGATTAGTACAGTGATTGTCTACTAATTAATAACAGGTGTCATTAAGCCTATGAACCAACAGGTAACGTCTTCACAACACCAGACAATGTGACAACTGCTATGGCCAACGGGAGTGTGTATGTCTGTGGTTTCAGTAAGATGTAACCCCATCATTACGTTGTGTTATTTAAGTCTAGAATCTAAATTAACTCGCCACCTTTACTGCCAGCCACCACATAGGTAAGCAATGTGGCTCTTGTAATTTATACGTGAATCTCTTTACTAAATCATGTTAGGGAGTTCTGTTAGTAAGTGAGTGAGTTATCGTA